AGCTTTTAGCTCCAAAACAGTGATGAGCTTTCAACTCCAAAACAGTGATGAGCTTTTAGCTCCAAAACAGTGATGAGCTTTTAGCTCCAAAGTAGTGATGAGCTTTTAGCTCCAAAACAGTGGTTTGGCAGACTGGACAAGATGTGATGAAGTTAACTCCTAACCATTTTTGTGACAGCAGGCCGATGCGAGTAGTGATGAACTTGCCTCCATTGTCTGAAACTCCACCCATTTGTCCCCCTGCCAGATGTAGAGGACCGAGAAGGCCAGAGTGCTTTCGCCAGTGAAAGCGTTGGCCACTACAAGGAAATGGTAGTCGGCCACGGTAAAATGTGTCCAGTCGTAGGCACCAATGGTTGGCAGGGGTTGGTGCTCCAAGAACTCTCTGTGCTACCAGGACCATTTGTATACAACAGAATCTGTTAAGCTGTTGCCATCTGTAGATAGACGTAATTCTTTTAGAATCTATCTATCTTACTATCTTTATTGAGAAAGTGAGACTTCAATATTTGACCGGCAAAACAATTTTTTGACTAGTGAGACGCAAACAATTTGTCTAAATAAAACAATATAAGTTCAGCTTTAATAATGACTATACAGAATACAAATGTATATGTTTCTGCAAATGCCTTCATCAGTATAACAAAAAAAAAACAAAAAAAAAACAAAACCATTCATATAAGTATACATTAAATTGTCATAATATAATAATGTATATACATGTATCCCAATTAAAAGGAAAAGACAAGAATAAGAGTGGGCACAAGTCCCTGACACAAACAAAGCTCAGAAGAACAGAAACGAAATGGGTGGAAGTAAAATTTAAAAACCCCCCAAATTTTATTTTTCACTTAAAGCTGAAGCTAATTAATTGAGCAAATTATTGTTTAATACCCCACTACACTATTAAACTTATATAAAAATTAGCAGCAGTTTTGTGAGGAAAAGTGTTGATGGTAAATATGATTATACTAGATTAGATGGTTATAATATAGCTTTTATTGTCATATTAGATAGGCTATAACATAGCTTCAATTACTAAATTAAAAGGTTGTAATATAGCTTGGTAGACGACAAAATTGCGAGATTTATTGTTCCACTTGAAAATTGTGGAATTGGACGGGACAGATTTCAAGGATCCATAATTTGCCACTGCAAGGAAAAACTGAAATTCAAATTGTGGAAAAAATCAAACTGTGTCAGTTTAAAAAAAAAAAAAAAATTTTGTCAGAATATAAAATGATTGATTCTGTTTGGAATGTCATTAATTAATGGAGCACAGTGAGTTTAAATGTGATATTCTTATAACAGAATTATATTCATTTTATTTACTCTAATAATGTGCTGATTTACCTGAATGCCTCAACAGGAACAGAGTTTAAATACAGTCAGTGATCTACAAGAGAGGATCTACAGGTGGGATCTACAGGTGGGGATCTATAGGCAGGGATCTACCAGCAGTGATCTACAAGCAGTGATCTACAGGCAGTGATCTACAGGTGAGAATCTACAGGTGGGGATCTATAGCTGGGTATCTGCTGGCAGGTTTCTACAGGTGTGGATCTTCAAGTTGGGATCTAAAGGAGGGGATCTACAGGCAGGGATCTACATGAAGGGATCTACAGATGAGGATCTTCAGGTGGGGATCTCCTCCCTTCTCATTTATCAATAACAATTTGTTTAATTAAAATTAAATGAAAAACAAACAATTCACAAAAACATAACACTGCCAAGACCAATGCCTCAACACTTAAGAGAGAGCTATAGTTTTTAGGGCAGTGTTTTTTTAAATTTTGGGCATCTGACTTTAGTGTCGAAGTTCTGAGTGATCAGCTAGGCTGGCTCATCTTAAGAGTCGGGCCATTCAATAGGATTTTATCAACATACTGGTCACAAGTTTATGCATTATGCCACTTATCAAAATCCAAGCCACAGATTTTTAAAAATATTAGATTATGTGCTACCAGCTGTGGACATATTGAAAAGCAGTCATCGCTTAATCTGATTTTCTAGTAGATTTTAATAAAGAAGTGACAAATTTAACTGCATTGACACTACTACTCACCTGGCTATGGATAGAGAAAAACTCCCAGGACTGGCCTGACTGGGTGGGCAGCCACTGGTAGAATGTGAACTGACCATTGACCCACTGATACATCCTTAACCTTAAACAAATAAACAATGCTGAAATTGAAGTCGAAATCTGTTTTAAATTTAAATTACAATATTTCTAAGATTGTTTCACTTTACAAGCTAAACATTTTAAATTATTTTCAACATTAAATAAATAACAGTTACATCAGGATTTCTCAACCTGTAACCCAGGGGCCTCCCTAGGGTATTTGTCATCCATGGCAATTTGATTTAGCTATTGTTCAATTTTAGGGATATTTTTAAAGACTCTGTAGTGCATAATTAGGATGCGTGTTTAATGCCCTTGCAAGTAAAATTCAAATTCATATTTTATTTGTTTCATCATTCCAAGGCTCGATCCAATTTCAGTGATAGTTACACAGTCCAAACAGTTTAGAATTTCTCATAATGCCAATTTCAATGATAGTTATACAGTCCAAACAGTTTAGAATTTCTCATCATGCCAATCTCAGTGATAGTTATACAGCCCAAACAGTATAGAATTTCTCTTCTATAGTTCTCACTTAATCAATTGTGACAAGATCAAATATTCCCTTCTTTATGAAACAGAATTTTTTTTTACAATTATTAATGAGATTGCCTATTATTCTCAATGAGTTCATTCACTCTATCTGCTTGACATGATTTCTTAATCTTATGAAACAAAACATGTCTCCAACTTATCAAATTAATTTTAAAATTACCGCAGTGAACTTCGATCCCTGGCATCTGTCAAGGCAAACACAGCAAATTTCCCCTCTCCAGGTAGGTCAAAAACTTCAACATCCAAAGACCCTTGTCCGGTATCCAAGACCTGGTGAGGCACCAGATAGTCCAGTCGCCTTTTATCTTTTTGATATAGAATATTTCTTGTTTTTTTTGTTTTTAAAGGGACTTTTATGATTGACCTCTATAAATAAATAATTAAAACAATACTGATGCTAAATAACTTTATGTATAATATTCCCCGGTATAAATACAACTTCGGTAAAGGTCATAATGTTACCAGTTGACAACTTACAGAATGAATACTATGGACACCTTGTCAACATGGCTGTCCATGTTTACCTTAATAAACTTACCTGACTTGACCTTAATGTCGCGCCACACTCCATTGACACACACCTTCAATTTACCAGCATGGACATCAAAAGCAATGTTGCCCACATCTGACCACTCACAGACTCCCCGCCCTGACTGGTGGTATGTTAGAGATGACAGACCTGAACACACAGGAGAACAATCAAATTGGTTAATGACAAAATAATAATGATATACTTTTCCTCATGTCATAAAACTTAAACATTCATAAGCTTGATGAACTGACTCTATTCAACAACACAACATGAAAAACAAAAATTATTTTTGTTATAAGAAGTGGGACAACTTTCATATCCATACTCAAAATTTTAAAAAAATGTTATTCCCCTTGCCTGGATGAACACTTAAAATCAGTTCAGTAGACAAAAAAAAATAAAATAAAAATAAGATTGAATTAAAATTAAAGTTATTATTTGGTAATACCAAAACTGAGAAAGGTGAGTTGGTGGAGCCAAGTGAAGGGACAGTAATGGGACAGTGAAGGGACCATGAAATCACTAAAAACAAATTAATAATTATTACTACTATTAATTAGTTTTAATTCTTCAATTGAAATAACAAAACTCTAATCTTACTTACTCAACTTACTGCTCGCTTACTACACTCTAGACCATAGTCTAGTAAGTCTAGTGACACTAGTGACAGTTGTAGTGCAGTATTAGTTGGTTATGGATCATTGAGTGTTGAGAAAGGTTGGAATTGGAATAATCAATGATTCATGATTACGAATAGTTTGGATTATGCCTTATGAAAGGAAAGTTGAAATATTGGCATTGATTGGCTGGAACAGATAGCTTTTTAAGGGGGGAACACAGGTCGACTACTAAAAAATTCACACAAAAAAAACTATTTAAGTTACAGGTGTCAAATTTTCACTGAAGTTAGAGGAATGGTCATTCTACAATAATAACACATAAAATAACTATTAGTACTTGAACATAATAGTTTGCTAACATTGAAAAAAAAAAGAAAAGAAAAATGGGATGCTGAAAACAGGAATGTCAGACAAAAAAAATTAATTAGAATGTTTTAAGCTCAAATTTATAACAATTTTTTAACCATACAGAAATGTGGATTAGCTTTGGCGACAACTAGGAAAAATG